GGACCACCCTTAGGAATATTCTGTCTCTGTGTCAGTGTGCTTTGACGGTTTTCTGGATTCTTGATTTGTTGGTGTTATATCGGTCTATATACGGCTGCAAGCCGTCCTTGGTATTTTCAAATACAAAACAACTCCGACGCTATGCTAATGATGAATCACTTTTTCTTCTTCTTCTTCTTCTTCTTCTTCTTCTTCTTCTTCTTCTTCTTCTTCATGTCCGTCCTTACATTGTGCTTCAGCCTACAAGCTAATCATCGTCTTGCTCGTCCTCGTCCGCGTCAACATCCTCATTAGGGTCCTTGGGATCCTGCGCCTCGTGGAATTGGATGCAGTCGTCGATGAAGCTGAGAATATCACCGACGCTGTCCTCGTCGGTGACGTCGAGCTTGAGGTAATTCACCATGCTGAAGCTCTCAATGAGCCCCGCCACTGCGCGGTTCAGCCGACGGAAGCTCGCGCCCTTCATGACTTGCTCGCGGTCATCAGGCGCCCTGGACTCGTCGTCGCGCGCCTCGTCGGCGCCCTCGCCCGCCAGACGGCCGCGCTCGAGCGGGTCATCGTCGAGCAGCGCAACGTCGGGCGTCAAAAAATTCTTCAGGTCGCGCTTCTTGACCTGGCCCTTGATGAGGTCCATCTTGGAGAGGACGTTGATGTGGGGGACCTCGAGCATGAGCATGGCGGACATGGCGCTGAGGGTGCCGGCAAAGAACTTGGCGCGGTCGACGACAAACGTCGCCTCGAGGAGGTAGACGGCGGCCATGCGGATGTCGAGGGCGCCGGGCTGGGAGAGAAACTTCATGAGGGTCGGCAGGATGGGGATGTGGGTGTAGAGCTCAATCTGGCCGGGCATGTCAAAGATGATGAGGTAGTCCTCGGTGAGCGCGTCGAGGGCCTCGGTCAGCCAGTCGAGGTTCTCCATGAGAAACTCGAAGCAGTAGATGAGGCCGCCGTTGGGGCCGAGCCCGACCTCCTCCATGGCGTCGCGGAGCGAGATGAGCTCCTTGATGTCGAGGTCGGGCGTATGCTCAAACGTCTCGGCGGCGGGGTCGAGGTTGACGTAAAAGGCGGACCGGCGGTTGAGCTGGAGATGGGTGATGAGGGCGGCGCAAAAGGTAGACTACGAGCGCAGATTAGAATTGTTGCTGGATCGCACGTCACAAGCAAGGCATGTTTTGGCGTTGCGCCCGGTGGTGCGCCGTCGTCAATAAGCAGTTGTCTTGCAAAACACGACGACGAGGCGGGCGGGGTGGATTGCGTACCTTGCCTGCACCGGCCGGGCCCATGACCATGGTGCCGAATTTACTCATGGTGGCGATGCAGCTTGTGTGGTGATTAGCAGGAGATTCCAGTTGTTTGCGACGCCGGCAATGCGCAGTCTTCGCTGGTTGGTCGCGATGCTGGGATTGGTACAGATCTGGAAGCTGTTGCAATGCCAAAAGATTTCACGTCGGCAAAGTGGAGTCTCTTCCGGCAGCGGGCTGGTGGGCCGTTGCTCAAGTTGACAGCAGGCTGGCTGAAAGCACAGCACAGTGTAACCCCCTCCCCCCTGTAAGCAGAATGGCAGATACACACACCTGGCTTGTGCTGATGCTGTCAAAGAGGTCAGCAAAGGCTGTCAGCTGTGTTGTCACCTGAAAATAATGCTGCGTACGAAGTACTTGGCAATTTTACACAGCCATTCTTTACTCCGATGCCGCCGACAATCCGAGGCCTGCTCTCCCCAATGGCATCATCCCTCTCTAACTAACTAATTAGATAGGCGCTGGGCAACAATCGCACTGGTACCACTAACTAAGAGTGGTGCAGGCATGCAGCTCGGGGGCTGACCCGCACCACGTTGTCGCGGGCACCACTGGGACTGGCGACGGCGATGCAGTCATGGTTTCCCGGCGTCACGCAACGCATGAGTGGCATAAGGGTGATGAGTTGCTAGCGTAGGCCATGTTGGTGAAGCTTCCTGCGCAGTCCAGGGACAGCTCAACAAAGCTCTCTCAACTTGCTGGCCCCTGGCCCTGAGAGGGGTGAGCCTGTTCTCGACATTTTCCTCCGATGGCGCAATATCCCCCACAACTGCTGCGACATCCACCCCAGCGTCGACATGCCCAGATTGGGACTGTCATCACAGTAATTTATTGAATGCTATACCAATTTCTTTCTGTAGTCCTGCAGCTTGCAGGTAGGTACCCAGGTATTTTATTGTCTTGTCCCGAGACCAGCAATCCCTAGCCGTTTTCGCGGGTAGCTTGGGTCTAGTCCCCAGTCGGCACTGCCCCTCTTCGGCGCTAGCAGAGTACTCCATCTCACACCTTGGCTGCTAACGGATTCATGTACCGCCGCAACAAAAACACTTCCATCTACCCCTCCATGGGCCCGCCTCGATACTTTGTCCCGCGGGTCTTAAGCCGGCCGAATTTTTTTTTTTTGGCTGCCGCGAGGTACCGACCAGCCTTTTCTGCTGGGTTGCCCGCTGGTGCAATTTCTCCCCTCCGCCTTTTTCTTAGCCCTCTTCCCTCACTCAGTTTTTTTTTCCTCTTCAACCTCTTCCCTCTCATCCTTAGCATTTCTTACGAGGTTTGTATACATCCTCATATTACCATCTCTCACGAGAGCCTTTGTGCTAACGAGCTCTTCGTACAACAGTCTTTCGGTGCCGTCTTCATCGACGACTTTGCAATCCCGAGACTTTCTCTGCTACTAGCTATCTCGCTCATCAACCTCCCGCGAATCTCTCTGAACTTATCCTCCCTCCTCTTCCTTTTCCCACCCTCTCAAATCCTTCACAATGCCTGTCACCAACGGTACCAACGGTGCCCACCACAACCAGGGCAACTTCCTGTTCACTGTATGTCGCTCAATGCGGTCCCTGCTGCGTTACCCCTCCTTCATTTTCCGCTCCTGCAGCGTGGCTAATTCACTTTCCGTAGTCCGAGTCCGTCGGTGAGGGTCACCCCGACAAGATTGCCGATCAGATTTCCGATGCTGTCCTCGACGCTTGCTTGGCCGAGGATCCCCTCTCCAAGGTTGCTTGCGAGACTGCCACCAAGACCGGCATGGTCATGATCTTTGGTGAAATTACCACCAAAGCTAAGATTGACTACCAGAAGGTCGTCCGTGACGCCGTCAAGGACATTGGCTACGACGACTCCTCCAAGGGCTTTGACTACAAGACCCTTAACTTGCTCGTCGCCATCGAGCAGCAGTCCCCCGACATCGCTCAGGGTCTCCACTACGAGGAGGCCCTCGAGCGCCTCGGTGCTGGTGACCAGGGTATCATGTTTGGCTATGCCACCGACGAGACCCCCGAGCTCTTCCCCCTCACCCTCCAGCTCGCCCATAAGCTCAACGCTGCCATGTCCGCCGCCCGCCGTGATGGCACCCTCCCCTGGCTCCGCCCCGACACAAAGACTCAGGTCACCGTCGAGTACAAGCACGACAACGGTGCCGTTGTCCCTGTTCGCGTTGACACCGTCGTCATTTCTGCCCAGCACTCTGAGGATATTACCACCGAGCTGCTCCGCAAGGAGATTCTCGAGAAGATCATAAAGGCCACCATCCCCGCCCAGTACCTCGATGACAAGACCATCTACCACATCCAACCCTCTGGTCTCTTTATCATTGGCGGTCCCCAGGGTGACGCCGGTCTGACTGGCCGTAAGATCATTGTCGACACCTACGGTGGCTGGGGTGCTCATGGTGGTGGTGCCTTTTCTGGCAAGGATTTCTCCAAGGTCGACCGCTCTGCTGCCTATGTCGGCCGCTGGATCGCCAAGTCCCTCGTCAACGCCGGCCTTGCCCGCCGTGCTCTTGTCCAGCTCTCCTACGCCATTGGCGTCGCCGAGCCCCTTTCCATCTACGTCGACACCTACGGCACCTCTGACAAGACCTCGGAGCAGCTCGTCGAAATTATTCGCAACAACTTTGACCTCCGTCCTGGTGTCATTGTGCGCGAGCTCAACCTGGACCGCCCCATTTACCGCCAGACTGCCAAGAATGGCCACTTTGGTACCAACCAGAGCTTCACCTGGGAGCAGCCCAAGGAGCTCAAGTTCTAAGAATTTTCTCAAGAGCTTGACCGGGAAAGCATTCAACAAAGCTTTCCTTTACTTGTTTCAAGATAGATGTGTTTAATGTTCTTTTCATGAGGCACAACATTTCGGGCGGCGTACGGTTCTCAACGAAACCAATTTGGTACACAATTTACCCCCGCAGGGACGCGGGGGCCTTTCTCGGCGGTTTTTAAGCATACTAATTTTCCTTTGTCATCCTTTTTTACATAACGAAGGGCCCGTTGGCCCCCTCACGATATACCAGGAACGAGCCGCATTGCGTCTTTCAACAAAGACTGGCAGCGGCGCGTTCGCGCATTTGGGAAAATATTACTGCGAAGATTTGCATTTGGGATACCCTTTCAATGGGGGCGCTTAAGAGACAGCGTTATGAACTTGGCGTTTACGGGAACACAAAAGAACTTCAACATCTTTGAATTTCCCGTTTCTCTGACCGAACATGTGCGGATCATTCGGCAGGGCGGGAGAGATGAGCAAATAATCAGCGCAGATAGTGGTATTCAAACCTACTATATACTTGCGGAGGAAACCAATGAACCATAATTGGTAACCCTGACTGTTTTGGAATGATTGTGATTGCATTGTCGCTAGAGGACAAAGATGAGGAATACAAAAAGACGAGAAGCGGCAATGCACACGTGTAAAGCTGACCACCAGGTCTGGTCACTCTCGCCAGCCCGGTCATGTTCAGCTGTAAAGCCCGGAGAGAAAAGAGCTCATCCGTCGATCCACTAAGCAATTTGGAGCCTAAGCTGTGCACCAGTGCCGCACATCACTCGCTGACTGGCCGAGATAAAGCTAGATAGACCCAGGTACGACAGACAGAAAGCAAAGGGCGCGATTGAAAGAAAGATTTATGCGCCGTTCATCTTGCACCTTGCCGGGAAGGGGGCAGTGCAGCCCGGAAAAATCACGACAGAGCATCAACCCCACCACCCTGGGGCCGGCTTTGAAAAAAAGCTCCTCCGTTCAAGCCTCGTTGGTCGTCCCCGCTTACACGTACGTCCAGGAGCCGCTGGACTAAAGGACCCCTTTAACCTCTTCTTCTTCGATGCCAACTCCATTTCCACGGTGACCATTTAGGCCCAATCCACTAGATCGGCTCTGCTCGAGGAAGCAAAGTACATAATCGCATAACCCCGGCCTCCAGCTTCCGACTACCCCGCCCCCGCCCCCCTCGATACCCTTTCCCTTTGCCACTCTTTTCGACTACAACGAGACCGCCGCCTGTGAGATCGAATCAGCCGCCAATCATGCCGAACCTCTCCATTCGCAACCTGACCATCCACCCGCTGGAGCTCGTCTCCGCCGAGCGCTTCGCCGCCGAGCGCGTCAAGACGGTGGGCATGCTGTCGAGCATTGGCAGCGCCGTCAGCAACTTTCTAAACGCTACCGAGAGCTTCTCGTCGGAGCTGCGGGTCAGGGAGGACGCGGTCGGCAGCGACCGCCGCGACGTGTCGTTTACCGCCGACGCCTTCCAGACGGCCGAGACGGACGTGGCTGCCGCGGAGTCGGGCGCGGAAGTGGTGCGACTGACGTTTCGGACCGAGGAGCACCAGTACGAGACGGACGTGCCGAGCCCGTCGTCCAGATCGGCTGTGATGCGCAAGCTCGACGATGGGCCGCACGACCTCACCGTCGTCTACGTTCCCAGGGAAGGGCTCGTCGCCGTGTACTCGTCGGCGCGGCTCGACGGCTGGATGGGCGAGCTGCGCGACGAGTGGCCGCTGCCGTCGCTGTCGCTGCCCGGCACGCACAACTCGCCCACGTGCTACAAGGCGCTGCCGTCGGTGCGGTGCCAGGCCGTTGGCGTGCCGGAGCAGCTGCAAAACGGCGTGCGCTTCCTGGACATTCGCGTCTCCGCGAGCAAGGACGACGACCGGCTCGCGCTCGTCCACAGCGTCTTCCCCATTTCGCTGACGGGCACAAAGTGGTTCGGCGACATGCTCGAGGACGTGTACCGGTTCCTCGACGAGCACGCCAGCGAGACGGTCATCATCAGCCTCAAGCGCGAGGGCACGGGGAAAGGATCAGACAGCGATCTCGGCCGGTACCTCAAGGACGGCTACGTCGGCAAGCGCCCGGACAAGTGGTACACGGAGCCGCACGTGCCGACGCTCGGGCAAGTGCGCGGCAAGATTGTGCTGATGCGCCGCTTCGGCATCGACGACGACCTCAAGGGCGAGTGGGACGGCCAGGGCTGGGGCCTCGACGCGTCGGCGTGGCCCGACAACTGCGAGGACGGCCAGGCCGGCAGCTGCGCCATTCGCGTGCAAGATTTTTACGAAGTCTCCGAGAGCAACAACATTGACAAAAAAGTCAGCTACAGCCACGGCCACCTCGAGCGCGCCGGCGAGCACTCGTTTCTGCTCCCCGGCATGGACGGCTACGACGAGGGCGCCGCCAAGCCGCCCTTTTACGTCAACTTTTTGAGCGCCAGCAATTTCTTCAACGCCACCTGCTGGCCGGAGCGCATCGCCGCAAAGGTCAACCCGCGCGTCGTCGACTATCTCTGCACGAGTCACGGCGTCGAGGGCAAGGGCCCCAACGGCCTGGGCATCGGCTCGGCTGGCGCGGGCATCGTTGTCACGGACTGGGTCGGCGCCAATGGCGACTGGGACTTGATCCGCTGCATTGTCGGCATGAATGCCCGTCTACAGATTCACGGCTAGAGAGCTTAAGTGCGCGGTGAGAGCGAAAGATCACTGGAAGAGTTGGGAAATTGATTTTGACGTGGCAAGTACCATTCAACGAGCGTCCAGATAGACGTAGCAATTTGTATTGAATTTCATTTCATTATTTCTATGGCTGATGCCTATTCAAGACATTTGTCGTGTCGTCTTGCTTACCTACAGAGGCATGTTAGTAGTGCTACCATAACTGCGTCTGCAAGAACATGAAGTGCCAAGGTTTCTAGAATCGAGTTAGACCAGAGTTACCAGATAAGTTTGTTCGTGAGTGTAATTACCAGTCAGGATTTGTGTATTATTTTCAAGTCGCACGAATCCAAAGAAGGAACGTGAGATCAACCAGTGTGAATACAAAATTGAAACATCTCATCACAAAAACGGTAGAGTCGAAAGTGGGAAGAATGTTCTTATTTACCTATTGTATCAGGACGATTAGTTATCAATTACGCGCATGGTATTGTAATCCCGGTAGGGAAACATGTCCAAGAATGGTGCTCAAGTCAGGTGACGAAGTGTCATCCAGAGATCCCACCACATCTACACCACAAGGTTTGTACGCCTTGCTTTTCTAGGGTGTAGAGACAGCAGGGCTCGATTATGTCCGCCCGTTCGTTCAAATAATCATCATAGAGGCACGTGGTATAGTCGATATGCGTGGAGGAAAAGTAATTACCTAACGTCTCGAGAATTAGCAATGTGCACAACACGGAAGTGAGCGAGCGTAATTGATGCAAGAAATCCAAGTCAGACAAGGCTGAAACTAATACAACGGTATCCACATTATGTATTAAGCATGAGGAATCCCTGAGGTGTCGGTTTGATCATCATTCGGAGGTGTTTGCGTAGAAGGAAATTGTGCGTAACGAACCTTTTGATATTATACATTGACACGGTCTGATGTCGTCAATCATCAAGTCATGATCTGTGAACCAGTTAAAATCGAGCAAAAACTTGAAACAGCAATTCGCTTGTGCAAAATAGTTCTCAGGTAAGTATATTTGAGTGTCACCATGGGTTGGTATGAATTGGATTGTTCATTTGGTAATAATCATCATCGTGCGTAGGACGGCGGCCGAACACCGGGGGTAGAAGGAGTCTTACCTCATAATATTCCCAAGCCCTTCAGGACCCGTACACTGAGTGAAGAGAAGGAGTTTCCATGAATTGCTCGAAGCTTGGGTGCGCTGAAGTGCTTGGGAGTGGTTGGGAGAAAGAAGAAGGAAGGAATTTTTTCATGGGAAAGAAATAAGTGATAGCTCTGTGGGGCTAATCTTTTCTGAGACTAGTGTACTGATGAGGCAGCCTGTGGCGGTGCAGCCCGGTCCCTTCCGCACTTTAGCAATGGGTGGCGAATTGCCATTTAGTGGCGCAGTATATAGAGTGACTGCATCCTCAGGTTGCCATTCCCTTGGATGACACAACCCTCCTCATTTTGCATTTCTGGGGAAAGGCTTCAGCATCTGCATAGTTTCTCTCGCTTATCATGGCATCCATGGCGGGGATATGGGGGCCAGCGGCCGTCCGTCTCCTCCGTGTCGCTGCCGCGAGAGCGACCGAAGCCGTACGGGCGAACATAGCCAGCGCCGTGCGGCCGCTCCACGGAAAACCACAATACATTCCCATTCGGTCCGGTTCGGCCGGCCGACAACCGATTCATCCAGCCGCTTTTCTCAAGCAGCAGCGGCGCTGGATCTCGCGAGTCTCGGGCCAGCACGTTCAGGCAGTTCGCCGGTTCCTCAGCACCACACCCCACGGCGGTGCTCGCCAGCCGTTCCACCGATCGCAGCTACCTTCGTCCAACACCTCTCGACGTGTTGCCCAATTCTCCGGCCGGGCTCCCTTTGCGAATGCACTACGACCAAACTTGACAGGCGGTGCCATGCCGCGCTCTGCCGGTGGTTACGGCATCGGAGGTGGTGGCGTTCGGTACTTCTCGCATACCCCTGCGGCGCCTGCCCAGGTCGTGCAGAATGTATCCCAAGCCATGAGAGCCTTTTTCCTCTCGGGCCAGCGCTTCCAGTACGATGGTTTCGGGGCCAACGGCGAGCCCAAGTACCGCGCCATTTCGGCTCTTGAGGACCAGGCTATGCGCAAGATGGCCATCTTTCCCCGCTTTGCTTCGGGCTCTTTCATTGACTTCAAGCTCAGCCCCACGATCACTGCCATGAGCCCTCTCGCTGCCGCTCTCATCGAGGCCTCTGATATTTCCGGCTTCAAGGGTGCCGCGCCCTCCGATGGCACCTCCCTCAATACCGAAGGATTTCTTGATGTGCTGTCGACCGACTTTGGCTGTGCGCTCAAGGATCTTACTGCAGTGTATGCAGATCTTCGACGACTATCTGTTCTAGGAGACTTGCCCGTTGTCATGGAAAAGAGCAACGTTATCAGGGTTCGATTCCCAGGTGTTGACGTACACACCTTAGAAAGCCTCTGCGACGACATTGGCATTGAACGGGGTGTCCTTGGCCAAGACCCTCAGTCTGACAATATGCATATGACGCTTCACATTCCATTTGCACCCGAGTCAGCCAAGACGTTGACATCGCCTGGTGGCTCCACCAGGTCTGTTTGGGGACCCGGCTCGGGATTCGACTCTTTGAGCGACGATTCCTTCATTGAAGAGGCGTTTGAACTTGATGGAAAGCCATGGCTGTCAGACCCTGAAGAATATGAAAGTATTTCACCGGCTAGTGGCTCGGGAGCGCATTGTTCGCAGGATTATGAAGGCCTTGAAGGCATATATAGATTTTTGGAGGAATGCGATAGGGCTCAGGGCAGGGTTGGCTAACAGTTTAGCCCTGATGGATATTTCGAGTGCAGGGTTTGCCCTGCACATGGCCATTTGTTTGTATACCCGCAGATTGATAACTCGTGCCTCATCAACTGGCATATTTTCATTTGTTATAGTGACAATAGCATCAACCAATCAATTGCCCGTGCGGTAAATAACTGTGGGAGATGGGCCAGAGGACGAGAGACTTGTGGAGGTAGCCATTGTCTGGCGGATTCTAGGTTCGAGGAGGTTTGTGCTCGTAGAGAGATGCTGCAAAAGTATTGCGAATGAGAAGAGATTTGCGCAGCATACGTCGCAGTCGTGGTTGTTCATTGTGTCCTTGGTGCAGAGCAGATGTAAAGGGGAGCTCAAGCTCAAGTCGAGACCAGACTACAGCGCCAGTTTCTGCAAGACCCACTGAGGATACAGTGGTTTCATCTAGATCTGCTACCACCTTGGAGATGCTGCGTCGAAATTACTTTGTAAGATTCCAAATCTTTCTTCTCTTTTTTTCTCTCTTTTTTTCTTGTGTTCAGTTCCATACACGTAAGTCTACGCCTAATGCCGATCAACGTTGCACAGAGCGGAGTTAAGCCCGCAATCAGCGTTGAGCAACGGAGTTTTGGGCCGGAGTCATCGGTCATGACGGCAATGTATCAGAGTTGACGGAGATGTTGACTTAAAGTGCTACAATTTCCAAGTAGTGGAAGGGCAAGAACAAATTCTGTCAAATATCAATTCTTATTGTTAGTACTATCTGTATGATATCATTGTTGTGCTTGCTGGGCACCGCGCTTTCCTGAATCGCGGCTCGACTCTTATATCATCGTCTATGCTATATATAGTCATTTACTATGCACTTCGTGTCGCTAGCTTCGGCAGTTGGACAAGGCATGTTCGCCTCATCTTGTTACTTGATCAGGCTAGCAAGTCCCGAGTAGGTTGTGCTGGTAGTTTTGCTTGGCGGTGCTAGTTGCTGCTGTCGCTGGCTGCAAAACCGCTCGGTCCACTGATACGTCGCCCATAGCCTCAGATAGATCGTTATACTCAGAAAAAACTCAGCTGGCCATTGAGGTTGTAAATAGTACTCCGTAACGGAGTAACTTATTGGTACTTTAATGAGAGTATACCTAGTGTGATTATTTGAATACTAACTTTGTTGAGAAGCGATCTACGTTGCGTCATGCGTCTGGTACAGGCGACCCCTGTAGCTGAGCGTGGTCTAGAAAAGTGGAGCAAGAACCTCAAAAACAGCCAAAAAAATGCATTTAAGCCAATTTACGCTTTATAGTTTTTTCCGAGTATAGGCCCAGATAACGAGAATTCCTTATTTCCTTATTTCCTTATTTAAAGCGGGAATCAGCCAATCACAGAGGACAGCCAGGGTGCCTATTAAGAACCCCGAAATTTACGACGTCGAATTTGAAATTTGCAACGTAGCCACATAACAGCTATATACCTCTTAACGAGTTTCTCATCCTCCACCATTTTCTCCTCTTAATACACACACCTCAAGACACCGCTCAAAGGCACCACTTAAAGACACAAAAGGCGTCTAAAAGAGGCGCTTAAAAGCACTCTTAGAGGCACTATCGAAGGCACCTTCAAGAGCGATTAGAGGCGCCGGAGGCACGCTTGAAGGCGCGCTGGAGACATGCTTAAGAGCGGTTGTGTGATAGTAACTCTGAGAGAGTGACTTTAATAAGCTCCCTCGCTCTAATTAATAACCTATGGCCTATAAAAGACCTGAATAGGCAAGGTTTACGTTGTAAGATTCAAAATCAACGTTGTAAATTTCGGGGTTCCTGACGAGTCAGTGGCTGTCAGCTAGCAGGCAGGGGTGAGGAGCCCTCGGGGTATAAACCCCCGAAATTTGTAACATGCGGTTTAAATCTTATAATGTAATTCTAGCCTATTAAGGTAATTTATAGGCCTTTTCAACTAATCAGAGCCGGCAGGCTCTTCGAAGTCACTCTCTCAGAGTCACTAACAAAAAATCCCCTCTAGCATACCTCCAGCGTGCCTTCAGCACGTGCCTTTAATAACGCTCTTAATAGTGCCTTAGCCTTCGATACGGCCCCTAAAAGTGCTTTAAAGCACCTCTCTAAGCGTTTTATATACCTCTAAGACGGCGCGTTGATGTGTATGTGTGTTTTAGGAGGAAAAAAGAATGCAGGATGGTGAAGGATGGAAAGTTCTGTTAAGGGGTACATTAGCTGTTATATAGCTATGTTATAAATTTTAAAGCATACGTTATAAATTTCGGGGTTCTCGGGGTATGCCGTGGCTACCCACAAAGGAGCCATGGTTAAGATGTACCTTTTGAGAATTCGCTGAAAATAAGGAAATAAGGACTGATTTCCTAGATTTCTCGGTCTCTACTGCAAGGACAGACCCACCAGCGTGTACAACATACCGAGGAACAGTGGCCAGAGGTGTACCTGTCTCCGCTTTAAAATAAGGGAATAAGGAATTCGCGTTATCTGGCATGCGGGGGACAAAAAAAACGAGCGCTTTACCTAATAATATAACTATATTACTTTTAATATATTATAATAAGAAAAGTATATAAAAATATAAAGAAAATCTTAATATAATATTTAAGTATTAACTTACCTATTAGTAACTAAAATATCTTTTTATCTATTTTTCTAACTATTTAAAACCTTACTTAAAAATAGTAGGTATTTTTACTTTAAAATAGGTTACTTATTTATATTATTAAAGACTAAGTTAATTTTTTTTTACTTAAAAAATTATATTAGTACTTTTTAGTTATTATATTATCTATTTATTATTATTTTATTAATCTTAGTTAACTACTTCTAATGCTAATTTATCTAGTTATTATGGTATTTTGGTGGGAGCGCTCGTTTTTTTTGTCCACCCCTTGTCTGGGCCCGTGTCTGGGTCCCCAGCCCGCACTTGGAGCTATACGTCGCTACATATTGTCGCATCAGATACGATCGACGAATTGGGGCCCGGAGAATAAAAGCCAAGACACGCGAGAGCGTGGTTTCTGGGAGTCCGGTACCCAGGTACCCCTCAACCCCCCTGTGGCAGATTTTCGCTCGCACTTGCACTGGGTAGAGCCCAGAAGCTATCTTACCAAGATTTGCCATCGTCTGACACCTGTCGCGATTCCTTCAAAATGTGTTGGAAATGACTCTTGATATCGAAATAGCCTCAGTATGTGTGCAAATCAGAATCTCCTCCTTGAGGGAGAAGGAGGGGGGTGGTCACACAACACGTTTCCCCCGCATACCTGAGTAGACCTCATCACCAAAGCCAAAATCTTCGGTAGTTCTAGCTCCGACTGCGGGTGTACTTGCTGAATAGAGGCTTGAGTGGCGTCCGACGCAACCTCGGCAGAGACCCATCTGTAAGCCCGCGACCCCGAGAGCTTCTCCTGTGCCATTTCCGACTCTTTTTATTTCTCGGGCTACGCATAAATCAAACTCTTGCCTTCTTCTTCAATCAGCCAGCTATACACGCAGAAACGAATCATCATGTCAGGTCCCGGTGTTGGCTTCGAGTACCCCCGCCAGAAGGTGTCTTGGCTGCAGCGTGACTTGCTGCTCTTTGCCAACTCGATTGGCGCCAAGGCTAGCGAGCTTCACCTGCTCTATGTACGGACTGGAAATCAGAGAGTAATATCCTGAAGCTGTGCTGATCATGAGTCTAGGAGCTGCACCCCGACTTTGCCGCCTTTCCCACGTATCCGATCATTCTTTGTGAGCATCATCGTTGACACTCATTTGTCCCTCCCAACACTGACCGCGTGCCAATTTCAAAGCTTTCAAGGGCGACACACAAGAAGTCGTCGACTTTTACGCCAGCAGCAAGGCCGTCAAGATACCCGGTGTGCCCGAATTCGACTATAGACGCGTTGTCGACGGCCAGCGCAAGATGGAGTTCATCAAGCCCCTGCCCACCACCTCAGCCGGGCGCAACTTTGAGACGCGCACCAAGGTTGTTGGCGTTTACGACAAAGGTAAGCCCGGCACCGTTCTCGACGTCGAAACGGAGCTGGTCGACGCCGACAGCAACGAGGTGTACAGCCGCGTCCATACAAGCTCCTTCTTCATTGGCCAGGGCAACTGGGATGGCCCCAAGGGCCCCGCGACTATCAGCTACCCGCCTCCAAAGGACAAGCAGCCCAACGTCGTCCTCCCTCACCAGACCACGGCCGAGTCGGCTCATCTCTACCGCCTCAACGGCGACTACAACCCCCTCCATGCCACGCCCGAGCCCGGCAAGAAGATGGGCTTTGGCGGCGTCATCATGCACGGCCTGTACTCGTGGAACTCGACCTGCCTCGAGATTGTTCGCGCGCTTGGCGGCAGCAACCCCGCCAACATCAAGGAGTACCAGGCTCGCTTCGCCAGCCCCGTCAGGCCTGGCGACAAGCTCATCACACAAGTCTGGAAGACGGGCGAGAAGAAGGGCGAGTTTGAAGAGATTCGCTTCGTCACCCAGGTCGAGGGCGGCAAGATTTGCCTCAGCAATGGCCGCGCCCTGGTCAAGACTGTCGATCCAATTAAGTCTAAACTCTAGGCACCTCGATGAGTAGGCGAGAACAGCGAGCCTGTTTTGCACATGAGAAAAGCCATGAATGTGAATGACAATCGATTTTTGACCGCTTGAATCTTTGCAAATGTAGTGAACATCAATATTCAATTGTGACATGTGCAAGGTGATGTATTGAGGCCTCGAATTCTTTGGCCGGTATTTGAGAGCCGTCGCCCCATTAGAGAGTGCCCACACCGAGCCTGCACTGCTTCATCGTTTGCTGCCTGGTCTTTCATCACCCAACAACGCACCGCGCCGAGGGCAAAAACTCGACAATGCTTTTTGGTCCCTAGAAAACTAGAATATATTCAACAACGCCCAATAATGGCCGACTCACACTACGTAGGAGAGCGCATATCCTACGACGATGCTCTGTGCACTGTCCGCTACATTGGCGAGGTCGCGGGCGCAAGTGGCTCGTGGCTAGGAGTCGAATGGGACGACGGCACTCGTGGCAAACACGATGGTTCGCACAAGGGAATACGCTATTTTCGATGCAAGTATCAATAGACAGCCGTCGCTCCTACGAAATCCCAACACGGCTAACCCCGTCGCCTAGGCATATCCGAGTCGCCGACGGCGGCCTCGTTTGTGCGGCCGGCTCGGCCCGCAGACACCCCTGTGAGCTTCGTCACCGCGCTCAAGACCAAGTATGTGGAGAGAGAGTCAGATAATAGTGGCGTGCGGGACTCTCAAATCAGGATTTCGGGCAAGGTGGCCGAGGAGGTGGGCTTCGACAAGGTGCGCCGCCAGATGGCGCGGCTGGACGAGCTCAAGATGGCTATCCTCGACGGCGTGCACATGGCCTTTGCGCGTCAAGAAGATGAGCCTGCGGTGGCACAGATCAGCCCAAAGCTCTCGCACATAGACATCAGCAGGAATCTGTTTGAGAACCTCGCCCCAGTCGTGGATATCTGCAAGGATCTGCCGGCTCTCAAGAAACTGGCCATCAAGTACGATCTTTCCCACCCCTCACTCTGCTGGAATGGATGTGGGCAATGACTAACGCTGTGGAAAACAGTGGCAATCGATTTCAAAACGTCCTAGAAGACGCTGCTCTCGAGAACGCCGCCACCGCATTCTCGCAGATCACTGAGCTGGGCATCGGAGACAACATGCTGAGCTGGGAGGAAATCTGTCGCATCGCAGTAACATGTCCTTCTCTGGCTAACCTGGCTGCTGGCGCCAACCTTCTCTCAAGGCTACCCGCAGTAGATTACAGTAGTCTATCAATGACTCTCACGACACTCAACCTAGAATACAACAACTTCACTTCGATTGCCGACCTCGCCAGCCTCACATCTCTTACCTCTCTGCGCAACATCTACCTCAAGGGCAACAACATCCGCAGTCTTGCCTCGGACAAGGCGCCCTGTCCCATATTCCCAACTTCCCTGCAATACATTGACGTATCGTACAATCAGATTGACGGGTGGGACTTTATCGACAACCTGACAACGCACTTTCCCGGGCTGACGGCGCTGCGCATCAGCCATAACCCCGTCTACGACGTCGGCGCGTCGCCCGCCGCGCCGACGGCCACGGCGGACGAGGCGCACATGTTTACTATTGCGCGCATCGGCCCGCTGCGGACTCTCAACTTTTCGCGCATCACCACCAATGATCGCAGCAACGCGGAACTGTTTTACCTCTCGCGCATCGCCAAGCAGCTGGCTGCGGTACCCGAGGCCACTGCGTCGACGGTTCTGGCAGCCCACCCGCGCTACGCCGCGCTGTGCGCCGTGTACGGGGCTCCCGACGTGGTGCGCACACATAGGGTGAACCCGGCGTTTCTGGAGGCTCGCCTGGTGACGCTGGCGTTGCGGTGCGCGGGCCGCGCTGACAAGACGGCGCGTATCCCGCAGGCGTTCGACATGTACGCCGTCAAGGCCCGCGTGGCGAAACTCTACGGTGTCTCACCCCTCCGGCTCCGGCTCGTTTGGGAGACGGGTGAGTGGGATCCCGTGGCGAAGAAGCACAGCGACGAGGGCGACACGTCGGACGAGGATGACGATGATGACGATGACGAGGCGGCGGTCCCGGTGGCGAGGGATGCGACCAGGGATACGTATGACGAGAAGCTTGCGGACGGGCAGTCGGGTCGGTGGGTGAAGCGTGAGGTTGAGCTCCGCGACGGACCGCGGCAGCTGGGGTATTGGGTAGATGGATTGGACGTCAAGGTGCGTGTAGAACCACTACAATAATGCAGAGCAATTATATGACTTCTCTGGTAGATGGTTCTATTCGGCATTTTTAGTTTGACCCACAAGGCTCGCATATGTGCCATCAGGGACGGAGGCATATTAACATCCGTTCTATTAGTACACTCGGACATGGTTCTCTGTCCAGCTTATAAACTTCGGATGGCGCGGCTGTGGGCACCATCACAATCGATCGCCTCGAAACATAGGCGACAAGTAACATATTCAATTGTCCTAGAACATAAACACATGTGCACCATTGATCGAAAAAGTATCTCCCAAGATAGCTACTACAGGGAGCAACAAAAACGCTGCCTTCTGCTGCAAGGACGACACTTTAGTGACTGGAGTCTCATGATGTAAATTGGTAGCTTTTGCCGAGCATCTCTAGCTCGTCTTGCTTCATAGCCCAGTGTGCCTGTACTTGGACACAATCACCAAAGGAACCGACTGAGTATGCGCAGTCCCTCCTCGCAGCTGCGTAGGCGATGCTTTGTGAGCCATCGCCGTGACGGGGGTGGCGATGAAGGGGGCCCAGCTGGAGGGAGACATTGCACGGAACGGAATCAATGCGCGCGGCCCGACCCGGATAGGATTTAGCTCGGCTTCCGCGAGTTGGGGCAACCAAGACAAGAGAACAGTACAGTAGTGCAATTATTGGGGTTTGAGCTGAAGAAGTACGAGATAAGACGCCATGGAGTTGACATGGCTAGCCGTATGTGAGGCGTACGAGCACATCGAAGCTACCACGCTCGGCCTCGAGTTGGTCACGGCCATCATCTGGTGTAGGCCTAAGGCAAGAGCATGTAAGAGTGATGCAAATGATGAATTGGTCTGATAGGCTAGCAAGAATAAGTAGCAGTGGCTTGAAGCCTATGCTTGATTCCAATGTACTGATACTCGGAATCCCTCTCGCAACCAACATGAACATACGCTCGACGAGCCCGACAGTCACATTATTCAGACCGAATCTACAATTACGTCATGGTCCAGATTCTCGAAAGAGAAGTCGCAACAACCGTTTGCGACTTCGTGAGTGCGTAGACTCTCACCAAGAACCCACTACGCGACCGTTTCTCAGCTGACGCCAGCGGGCCTCGGCTTCGCACGCGACCGGCTTACGATCGGAGACATGCTCGCCACCGATGTGGCCACCTGCGACCGCGGCTATCGGCTCTGAAGCGGCGCCCAAAAGTTACAGCTCACCCGATGTAGCCAGCGAAGGTTGAGCTGAGTTTGACTTACGACAAATATCCTGCGCAAGGGCATCGCAGCGGCGTGCGCCGAGCACGTCGTTCCAATATAGTCTGCTCACCTGTAGGCCGAAGCGTGACTTTCCCCTTTACAGACAATGAAAAATAATACCAAATTACGCCGGGCTGACAGTTTCAGATGCTCAACGGCACGATCAAAAGCGCCTCCGACATCAAGAGCCAACTCGCAGCCGAGTTTGAGACACGGACGCGCGATACCCGGCCATGGTACCGCCACCGAACACGTAAATGAGAGGCGGTATGGTGTGCGTGGTTCCTGTTCTGGCACGGACGTGTTAGAATACGGAATGAAAACAGCAACTGCTCGATAACAGGAGTAAGTCTGGCAAAAAATGTAAAAGATACATGATTTGCAACATAATCAGCTGTGTAAGTATCCGCAGAATATAGCTCGAAGAATCAAATCAAGCCGCTCAGATTTGCAGAATCCAATTCGAAATTGGACCATCATATAGAAGAAAAAAATTGTGGAAAAGTAAAAAATTGACAATAAGAGAGAAAGAGTCTTACAATGTATATCATGTGAGTGTCTTTTGCCCAACTGTCGATGTGGCCATCTTGGCCTCATACAGCAAGCCGGTAATTGATGCCGGATGAGAAGATGACACAATGGTCAAGGTTGAAAATAAATCTAGACTTGCCGTTCACTCCACGTGATACCTGGCCGGTACATGGTAGAAATTTGGAGAACCTTTAGAAATCAGCCTCATCACGTGACTACGCCACAGCTCTCTGTGGCGCATGACAAAGCTGCGAACAAGCTTCAATTTGCCGTGTCACGACACTGTCAAAAAGTTGCCATCTTCCCGCGCGCATCTAATCGAATCGCAAGCGCCTCACTTTGATCCCGCCCCAATCGCACTTTTGCCGTTTGACTACATTTGCGAAGCGACCTTGCTCTCTCACGACGAGTCCCCCCCCGTCCTCCACCTTCTCCTCCTCCTCCACCTTCTGCTCTTCATCCTCCTCCAACCGCCCTCAACCCAATCAACCAGGTCCTTCCAAAACTCTTTTCTCCAACCCGCCCGACTGACCGGCCGACCGACCGACCTCAACCATGGCCAACTTCTTGGCCTCCATCTTTGGCACCGAGCAGGACAAGGTCAACTGCTCATTCTACTTCAAGATTGGCGCGTGCCGGCACGGCGACCGGTGCTCGCGCAAGCACGTCAAGCCCTCGTACAGCCAGACGATTCTGATGCCCAACCTGTACCAGAACCCGGCGTACGACCAAAAGAACACGAACCGTATGAACCCGTCGCAGCTGCAGAACCACTTTGACGCCTTTTACGAGGACATTTGGTGCGAGCTGTGCAAGTACGGCGAGCTAGAGGAGCTGGTTGTGTGTGACAATAACAATGATCGTACGTATTCCTTGTTCTTTCTTTCTTTCTTCTTCTTCCCTCTTTTCTTTCTCTTCTTTCCATGACCAATGTGTTCTCCCTTTGCTGACTAGATAACTTCCAAACGCAGACCTCATAGGCAACGTCTACGCCCGCTTCAAATACGAAGACGCCGCGCAAAAGGCCTGCGACGAGCTCAACGGCCGGTGGTACGCCGGCCGCCCCATTTACTGCGAGCTGAGCCCCGTGACCGACTTCCGCGAGGCCTGCTGCCGTCTCAACTCGGGCGAGGGCTGCATGCGCGGCGGCTTCTGCAACTTTATACACCGCAAGAATCCCAGCGACGAGCTCGACCGCGATCTGACACTCAGCACGAAAAAGTGGCTGCGTGCCCGCGGCCGCGACGAAAAGAGCGTCAGCCGCTCGCCGACGCCCGAGCCGGCAAAGAGGCGGTGGTAGGGAGGTGCGATGAGCTGGCACACACAAAACTGTATACTTGAACGGCGTTGCGGATTCTTTCTCGGGTTGGGATATGCGTTTATGCTGCAGGATGCAGAAAGCAGAAAGAAAAAGACTATAGTGGAATGAGCACGTTTTCCATAGCATATATCAAGAGCGTAGTCGCTCAACTTTGCAAGAGTTTATACTCTGTGCACAAGGCTACGTGCATGCATCTTCTATCGCAAGTCACATATTAGTTCGGACCAAGTCATTGTATCCTGTTGAATGCTGGTACACCCGGTCTCGAGGTAATCATGTAGTGTCCCTGATAGCCAAAAGTGACTAATCCAAGAAAAAAAGATGCCACACCAACATGACCTGCGTTGAGCGCAAATATCTCTAAGTAGTATCAACTAGATATAATAAAGAACAATTCCTTGTTCACGGTAGCCAAACCCGTCATGGCCTGCATGATGCACTGTTTAGCAGCAACGGGCCTTCACGCCGTAGGCAAAAGAAGCCTACAAAATCACAAATCAATCAGCGATCCCTCAGCAGGCTTGCCCGTCTCCTTGAGCATGGTCTCGACGTCGTCGGCCGGCTTGACGGGTGGTGGGGCGGGCGCATCGTTGCCACCGATGTCAACAAGGTTGTTGGAAAGAGCTTCGGGGGCAGCTTTGGCGGCTTCAGGGGTAGCTTTGACGGCTTCAGGGGCGGGCGCCGCGTCGCTGGGAGAGGTGGCTGGTACCTGGCCAGCGTTTTGTCCAGGTAGAATGGGGTATATGGAGAGGATTTGCTTCTTTTTATCCTCAGGAGAGGCCGAATTGTCACTATAACACCTATTAGCAGAGAAGTAATTTGTGTATGTAACCAAGAGAAAACGCACATATGAGCATTGATGATCCATTCGAGACTATCTTCGCCCTGCTCAGACTCTTCGACAGAGGGCTCGACGGCGCGGAAGAGTCGCGGACGCCATTCTTTGCCTTCTTGGGCGCGAGCGGCAGCCTCTTCGCGTTGGCGATCCTCAATCTTGGTCTTTTCTTCGGTGGCCAATTCGTGGTTACGTTCCCTGACGGCCTTAGCCGTCAACTCCCAAAGCCTTTGGGATTCGCGCTCTTCTTGTTCAGGAATGGGCCGAGCTTGGGGATTGCTAGGTTTTGCGTGTGTGGCGTCGAAAAACATTTCGCGTTGGCCAGTCTGTTTGCCAAATTAGTAATATCCAGGGCGGTATACTGGTATCGAAGACATACGGCAACATTCTTCAGAAACATTTCCTCATGCCACATGCCGGAGATTTCGTAAAGCACTTGGCCTGTACTCTCGCGCTTGATGACGCCGCCCACGGCGTTGTAGGTGCCGCTTACCCAGCCCTTGGTCTTGAAGTCGAGGTCGGCTGTAAGATCGAGTTCGGGGCAACGAACAAAACTATGGTCCCCGAGTTCGTATTTCATCTTGCCAAAGAGGATGCCACGGGCATACATGTTAGGCTGCGTAACGATGCTGCGGTGGCTGTTAGTTATGAAAGCTCGGCAGATCATGATATGCAGGGCAACTGACTATCTCTCGCCCTTGGTCTTGTCCTTGCCTCTGTTGAGGAGGCTCAAAAAGGCGATGCCCTCCATCATGCTGGCGGCCGAGTTTCCGAGAAACTTGCTGCGGGGCTTGAGGGTGCCGTCAATGCGAATATGGTGGTCTGGGGCCATGTAAAAATAGCTTGACTTGGGCGGGTGGTGCGATGTCTGCTCGGAAATATAGTAGGCCTTTTTGTTGTCGGGCAGGTCCCAGTAGCAGGAGAAGATCTCGCCGAGGATAGGGTTGAGCGGCTTCTTGACGCCTCTGGAAACGATGTTAGCGGGAGATAAATCGTGTGCAGGGGCGAGGCTAAAAACGCACGGCGGACGAATGTGCCAGCCACTGAGGTAGAACTTGACGACGGAGACGAAGCGCTCGACGTCATCGTCTATGGTGGGGATGTGCAGCAGCATTTCTGGGTGGCACATGAAGCTGCGAGGCGGGGTTAGCGGGTAAAGGAAGAAACGGTATATGTGGGCGACCGACTTTGTTATTCTCTCAAGCATACTGCGCGGCTCAAGAATAAAGGTAGGAAGGACGACGCGGCTTAAGTCGGCACCAGGGCGAAGCTGCGAAATGATGTGCGACAGGACTGCGGGGAAACGAGTTAGCTGGGAATGTTGGCGGAATGGCGCTCGAGGAAAGAATGCAAAGCCGCGAACAAGGAGGGATGATTTTGAAAACTTACCGTTTCCCTGATCGGGCTCCATGATTTGAGTATCTTGGTCGGGGTCGGATCTGTTGCCATCGTCTGCGGAGGCGCGGCTGCCCGCTTCAGAAGAGCCAAACCAGCCTGTTAGCATGATACAATGATGCGCCCGCGCCAAGACGTTGGAATTTTGGGTTTCTAGAAAAGACGAAATAGATGCGCAGCTCAAAGCCGGTCGAAATGGAAAACCAAAAAACAAGGTAGAATTAAGGACAAGGGTTGAAAGAAGCTGAAGAGGTGTATTGTGGGACTTTTTGGTAGAGCTTAGGCCGGCATTGCCCAGAGAAGTTCAGCCAGCAGCAAGTTTGGCAGAGGAGAAGGAGAGGATTTTGATTTAGACAAGACGTCGGGATACGCGGAGAATTGCCCGTGCCGTTTTAAGGGATGATGTAGGACAGAAAGACGAGGACCAAAATGCCAGCGTCAAGGGTGATGAGAGCAAATGGCTTTCTGCCATGGGGTTTCATGGAGGGGCCGCTCTTTTTTCCCTTTGCAGCGGCGACAAGTGGGAGGCGCTGGGAGGTGCTGGGAGGTGCTGGGAGCTAAGCTTTTGAGCCAAGCAGCTACCTCCATTCCCAGGTAGGTGACACTTGGGTTTGTGGTATTGTAGTTGGAGGGGGGCGAGTAAAGAAAGGGCAAGCACTTACCCCGCTTGTGGCCAGAAGATACAAGTCCCATCAGAGTCATGATGAAGGCGTGAACTTGGGAGAAGTTGGAGGAGGAGTAAAAGACGAGAAAGAAGAACAAGAAAGAAAGATTTAGGTGCGTTCGAGTTTGGCGGCGTTTGTCTGTCGTACGTCGATGACTTTTTTGGTTTTCTTGGAGGGGCTCACGGACAAAAGAGAGAGGGGCGGGGAACCTTGCCCAGGCAGGCAGGCAAAATGACTGCACGGCGATCCGCTGCAGCCTACCTATAACCTAGGCATAGTGTAATAGCCTGAATCAGTATTGATGGACATGTGCTATGCCGCTTTCTTTGTAATTACATACCCTTCTTTTGAAAGGAAGGCGTCGAAGCGATAATAGCAACCTGCTCGCCTCGGTACCAGCAGCCAAGGCTGATTGATACTCCACCACTGAATTGTTGTTGGGGCGAGGCAGGCTGGTTGGTGCTAGTGATGCAGCTTGCTTTGCGCCCAATGCTTGCCGCCGTCAAGACGAGCTGAGCTGAATTGGACAAAATTATCTCACCGAGCGAACAGAAGCCTTCTTGTGTCGTTTGGTGTCTCGCTTTTCTTTCCTTCTTTTTTTTTTCTCTGGTTGTTTTAAATTTTCTTTTCCAATATTTCTGTAGCGTCCTGCTTTCTCAAGCTTGCCTAGGTAGCTTTTGAACGACGTTTTTCGTTCGTCGTCGGATTCTCTTGGTCGCTTTCTCGCAAGGCCGCGTAGTTTGTTGGCAGATGGAGAGCAGTGATCTCAGCCAGTGGAAAATGGAATTGCCAAGAGCAAAAGAAGAAAGATTATGAACCTGGAAAAAGCCGGGAAATTTAATCCTTGGCCCTCTCGTTCCTTTAATAACATGCCCCATCAACACGGGGCCCGGCCACATCCCGCCCAAGCTTAATAAACGGCATGTCCAGATGTCGTCATAGCCAGCTTCGCTATAGCTGCCGAATGGACAGAGTAACCTACCTATTAAAACATTGTCAGACGGCACCTACGCGCCCAATGCCCTGGTACGAGTCACGACGCACTCTGTACCTTACCTGCTGCCGAAACGAGCAGTTATTACCACCTTCTTACCTGCTAGGTGGCCTTGTTCCTTGCTTACCCAACACTCTGCTTCCCATTAGCAACGCACTGTAAACCCGTGGCCAATCTGACGTTCCGTACCCGGCTGTCAGCGAAACATCAAAATCACAACTCTTCATCAAACACACACGCAACGAGGACAAAGTACAACATCCCCCAGACGTTCACATTGCCAAACGTCTCCATACCGCCCCGTCAACCGTCTCCTCTCTTCAAGCTCATCCTTTTCCGCATTCTTGTAAAACTCCGTTCCATACCCGGCCACTCCGGCCAGGCACATGCGCGCCACTCTGTCTCTGGTTGGGCCGCCCCCCCTCTAACTACCTAGTAACTAGTTACTGCCTCAGCTCACCCTTTTTCATCCATCTGTCATCCATTTATCCATTCATCTGTTGTCCATCCATCTGCCACCCAACCTTGTCCACTGCTACGCCTTGTGCATCACTAGCCTTTTTTTTAAGCCGCTGCATCAATCTACAATTTACTTTCCCTCATCACATCTGCGTCTGTTGCCTCTTGCGGCTTGGCATATTCTTCTTTGTCAAGATACATGACAATTCTATACTTGCTATCCCATCATTTGCTATGCATCTTGTATAAATCCGCCAAAGTGCTAATATAAAAGACCAAAATTACCGTCATATTTCATTCGCTTGCTATCCTTCATGCTCTTCTTTGTCGCTGATTTTCCCCCTCACTGAGTTTACCGAAGTCGTGATATCGACATTCGCCCCCCACCTTTGACGGCTGCTGGCAGGCACAAGGACAATCGGTCACGATCTGCAAAAAAAAGTTAGTTTGCTGATTCACGCATCCCTCGTCTCTTCTCCTCACTCACCCAGTTCCTTCTCAAACACAATCGAAACATCGTCGTGCTCTCCCGGCAGGTCCGGAAGATCTAGGCAAACGAATGCCATGTCGTCGTCAATTTCCTCATCCTTGTCCTCGGGCAACCGCGGCAGCGGAAATTTCGCATCCACAAACTTGATCCCTGCCTTGCCGCTCCGCTGAAACGACTCGTACACATCCGTACCCTTGAGGACAAAATTCATACAGTGCCCATGCTGCCAATTTTCAAAGAACGCCAGCAGCTGCACCTGCTTGTCTTCTTGCCGCACTACCTGGATTCGAGTCAGGCCAGCCTCCCACTTCTTATGGATAGGCACAACCATTCTGCGCCGAGTAATCGCAAACGTCGTCGCCATCGCGTCAAAAACCACCTCGTACCCTGTTACCGCGAATTGAAATTCGTGTAGGTCCCGCAGGTTGTTGAACTCGAGTGTCCGTATTGTCGGTTTCTGTCGTATCGTCTGCAGTCCCCGGCTCATCTCCGCCGCCAGATCTTTTGGAACTTGCGCCTCCGATATTGACGCTGTCATATCCTGCTGTGGCTGCCGAAGCATCCGAAACACCAAATTATTCGACACATCTAGCCGCAGCCGCATCTCGCCAGAGCCCACGTTGATTCGGTCAGTTACCATCCCGTTCTGATATTCCAGCACCACTTTGAGCTTGTCTGATAGCACAGACGCTGGCTGCTCGCCATTTGGTCCAAATTCGTCATTGATAACCTGCGCCGCCTTCCAAGGCATACGCTCGAACGGCAGAATGCCAGTCATGTCGCCCATCGTCTCTGATACTTTCAGGCTGCGTAGTGATACATTGGCAAGAATCCGTTCGTCTGCTTCCAACGCTGTACCCGTAATGAGCGAATGGAATCGCACTCGTTCCTTCTCATCGCTAAACGTGAGCACCATGCGTCCCTTTTGTCGACTTGCTTCGAATTTGAGCGACAATGCCGGCGCGTCCCCATCGCGAAAGAAGCCAAACTGCACCGGTAGCAGGGTAGGATAGTTGTGTTGCACTCCGCTCAATGTTTTCGTTCGTGGGCCCGTTACGGCCGCGATGCGGAACCCCGCGTGCCAAATTCTCGGACCGACGGGGCCGTTTTCTTTATGCACTCGCTCAAAAAGCGCCACTTCGCATTGTGCCATAGGTTCCTTGGGGAACACACGCGACTGAGGGTCAGAGTCAATGTACTGGAACGAGGGTAGCGTATTTTTAAAGACAACTGTTTCGTCCGGTCGAGGTTTCAACGTCGATCGAACCCGGGCTCCGAAGTCATACATATTCCACAGCATACGATAGTCTGTCTGCGATAGCTGAACTGCAAGCACAAAACCACGCGGCAGACGCAGGTCCAGCGTACAGGTGTCGTTGCGCCAGCGCACATCTTCCCACACTGGGCCTGCTCCCTTTTTGTCCTGCACAGCCAGTTGTATCACGCCGTTCTGGCTAGCAACAATAAAGATGAGGCCCGTCTCGGTTTGCGGTCGCATGATAGACAGAAAGCAAGAAAAGTAGAATCGCTGTGTGTCTCTTCCTTGTTCCATCAAAAAACAATCGGCAGCGACTCGGCCGTAGCTGAACATGTCTGCCATATCGCTGAGCGGCAGCGCATTCAGGATCTGTAAATTTGCTGTTGGCTTTTGGATAGCAGAAATGCCCGAGCGCCAGTCACCGGATAGCAGCGCAACCATGTCTTGGCTCATAGCTGGGTATTCAACCCAGATAGCTTTGTCAATCGTTGCCGGCAGAAACGGCTCCTCGGGAGGCAATAAGCTGTTTCTCTTCATAGACATGGCCAATTTTTTCAACGATGACATGAGTTGCTCTGTGGCGGCCAAGATTTCGGGATCAGGAGGAAGGCGGCGACTTTGCGAGATCTCGGGGATGGCGTGTTGGCACAGCCAATAGGATTTGGCCAAATTGGCATAGGCCTGCTGTTTGTCCAGTTCATTTTGCATCTGCGCTTTTGCCGTCAGTGCCGCATTGGGTTGGTGTTCTCTGATGGCTTGCTCAAGCCCCAAGCGACCTTTCAAGAACCACCAAAGCCCAGCGCGACCCAGGTCTCTCAACTGGCTGTTTTGCAGAGGTACAATGGTTTCTGCATGAAGGCGAAAAAGCTCGTGGAGGTGGGACGTTCGGTGCACAAAGATGTCTAGGGCCTCTGCACTTTCGCCGCCCATCGTGTCGTTGAGTCTGACGGAGGCCATTCTCGCCGCCAAAGGCCTGTAGTCCTCGTTTGGCGGGGGAAGGCTCGGCTGCGCCCCGGTGGGATGGGGGGAGGGCAACGACGGTGGATATGTACTGGATGCCAGCGATGTAAGCGATGTCGCCGGGCTGTATTCAAAGGATTTTTTCGGTGCGGAACTTTGGGGGGACTCGGTAATCGTCGCAGGCGGCGCAACAGCCGGAGCAGCTTTATCCTCCCAATTGGCATCGTAGGCGACACTCGAGTTGCGCGCAGCTTTCGCGAAGGCTTGCCCCTCGGCTTGACGCATCTGGGCTTGCTGAGTTTCGATCAACGATTTACGGTTCTCGTCATGGGCCGGGCTTGCTAGGAACCCACTCGAGGCAGGCTTGTCAGGAACGTCGAGCTTGCGCTGTGTGCCTGGCGGGGGTGGTGATTTTCGCCACTTGGCAGGGTTATCGAGATCCTCATTGTTCTGGGGAGGCTCTTCTGGAGAGTAAATAGAGGAGTAGCCGGTCTGAGTTCTAGCAAGGCGCTTCGGTCTGAAAATATCCCCCGTGGGCGGAACAGGCACCCGTTTAGGAGGCGTAGCAGCAGGAGCGGGAGGAGGGGGGGGCTGAGGGGAGCGTGCGAGTTTGGCTCGGGATATTGCGATTGTTGGATTCTCGCATTCATCTCCGCCTTCCCCTATGACCTCTGGCCGCGCGTTGGAAAAGTGTATCACAAGGCCCTTTTTGTTTGGGCGCGGGTTTCGAGGCGCGTTGACGGTAGAGAGATCGAGGCGGCCGCCGGCGGCGATGGGACGGTTCAGCTGAGCTTGCTGGTTGACAGCAAGGGCCTGAGGGTATCGTGATATCGTGGTGTCGAGCTTTGGTAGAGTGGTTGGCGGGGGTGGCGGGGGGGGATGCGTCACCTGCAAGCTGTCGGAGCTGCTGTGAAGAAAGGCGTCGACACTGGTGGCGTTGGTGGCATCAGAGGACTTGCGGTCTTTGCTGCCAAAGAGCTTGCCCATGAGTCGGCCTCTTTTTGAGGTTGCATCATTTTCCATAGCTTGTGATGGAAATCTGGCGCCGTATCATGGGTTCTGGCCCCTTGAAGAGGAGGAGGGAAGCGCCGTGTGCGTCGCCAGTTGCTGCGGCCAAGCAAAGGCAGATGGCGCTGGGAGGGGATGGCCGCAGGGAAGGGAGGCGACCGGCTGGTCTGGTGGGCGTAAATGAAAAGCCCAGTCGTACGAGTGTAAAGCGATCAGTCGCGTTGGCGGAATGAAGTAGTCGTAAGGTAACTACAGTGCGGCTGCGGTGCAGACAGACTGTGGTGTCGTGCGACAGTGATGGGGGCAGAGAGGCCGTGGTACTTGGGCGGCCCGCTGTGGTGTGGTGCGCTCAAAGGTCACTCGCTGGTTAGGCTTCAAGCTTGGAAACCTACACGGGACGTCAACCAGCAGGTGCGATGCACTGGCAGAGGGGCACGAGGTCCCTGAAATATCCCCAGAAGTGTCCACAGAGGTCCTCTGCACGGCTGGGCAAGGCTCTGTCAATTATCCCAATAGCTTTGTGGTTGCGTTGCCCGTGGGCGTGTCCAAGCAGGCTGTGAAGTGAGGGACGCAAGAACGAGGTAAATTGTTTGGGAAAGGAATTAAGTCAACGAGAAAGAGAAGGAGGGAATGCTGGAGATTGAAGGATGGAGAATGACAAGGCAAGCCCGGCGCGGAGCCAGCCTGGCTGGTCTGATCAACGAGGAAGGGAGCCCGCCCGCCCGCGGCAACGGCTGGAGGCCGGGCGTGGTATGAGCCTTACCCAGCTTCCACTAATATTAACTACCAAGTATTTAGTATTACGAGTGCTAGAGCAGTTGTTTGAGTATGTACCACGGTTGCCATCTTGCCACGATATCCCGCGACAGGGGCCACAAGGCTTAACAGGGCCGACAAAGAAGAGGAGAGAGCAGTAGAAACGAAACCTGTCCCACCAAATACGGAGTACCAAGCCTCTTTGCTGTGTGGCTCAAGCCTGGCGAGTCAAACAGGACGCAAGCGTATCGGTTGCCGTGACGTCGGGCAAGCCGAGACTAGATAGCGAAAAGTTGTGAGCCTTTTTTTTTTCTTTTTTTCTTCTTCTTCTTCTTCTTCTTCTTCTTCTTCTTCTTCTTTGGTTGTTCCTTGACTTGGTGGGCGAAGCAGGAGCTTGATGATGGAGAACGCAGATACAAATATAGGGTCCTCGAAAAATAAGGCGACATTAGGGACGCTTGGCAATCCCAGCTCGTGTCACGGGCAGCACTCTTCTAGAAAAGCATACCAGTCAAGAAAACTTACAATGCAAAAATATGATGATGAGCCAAGAGATGGAACTTTGACGCCCCTGAGATACCTTATTATTAGCTTTTGATCCTGTCCATTGCCTTTTGCTGTTGAGGCATGCCCATCACTGCCTGGCCAGAGGCATTTGGGCGCCTTTTTAGGGGCCCTATAAAAACTGCGACCCCTGCCCGCTGAGGCTCGTCGTGGAGCGCCCCTGTCCAACAATACCCGACTTTCTTGACAGATCACCAATGCAATAATACCAACCAAGTTCGTCTGGTATTTGCCAATAGTCCTTTAATATTACTTGTTTATTGTGTTGCCCATCTGGCATACCATGGTCATTGGCGCCAGCCCAGCAACCGCTCCCATCTCTGATATTTACCATGACCTCTCTTTCAGCCACAAACACAATTTTTCAGCATCGCCCTCTTCCTTTGACCTCCATGGCCTCCTCCATCGATGGCCTGTTCTCTCCAGCTGCTATTTCGGGCACTGCCCCGCGTTTTGACCTCGCTTTTTACAGGGATTCTCTCTAGTTGTATCCTCTTTGTTGCCGGGCGCCAGAGATACGAACGTGCCTGCGGTCTGTGGCGTTCGGTACCTAGCAGGTCAGTACCTAGAGGCGCTTACAGCGCATGAACCCTCTATTTATAGCCTCGTGTGATTTTCTTGGCCACTTGTTCAAACGACTCTATCAAGAGGCGGTAGCTCTGAAGCGCTCGTTTCACATGCCTGCACAGGCTCGCCCACAGACCAGAAAACGGCCCCGGCTCCTCGGTATACCTTTTTTGGCAACGTATGTCTTGCACATTACCCTGCAGCGCAGTTTTTACCAGTACAGCTGGTTCTGGATCGATCGCACGATTCCCAAGAGGTAGGCGTAGGGAACAAAGGGCTAGGATCATTGGACGAAACAGCAATGTGCGTTTCCTAGACAGGCCTGTCTTGGCCCGTCATACTGCCAGTGTTTGCTTTCCCAATGCATGTCATCTCATTGACTGCATAACATAAGGTGCGTGCGAATGAGCACGAGATTGTATCAGCCAAGTGAACGTGCAGGTCCAAATATCCGTCATATCCAAATTCGACTAATCCTTAATACGTCAGGCCCTCATAACTAAGTAGAAGGTACTCGGTCGCCTCCATACGACCTGTTATTAGCGGCATCAATCGCGATTAGATAAGGCGCCGCCAAAAATTATTTTGCGCCCACTTGCGTCGCCACTTGGAGTCATTGCCCGCCCGTAGAGGTCAACCATCGCACACCAACCTCGGGAGGCATGTGGCTACGGAGAATCATGACGGAAGCAGTAAAAAAGGTTCCTATCCCCGCCAAGGGTGTCGACTATCGCGGCAAAGTCGTCCTGGCGCCCATGGTCCGCTCGGGAGAGCTGCCCTCAAGACTCGTGGCGCTCAAATACGGCGCAGATCTAGTCTGGGGTAAGAAGCTGACAGTCTAGCCGCCTTGTCCCTCCACGTTAAAATTGCTAATGCCTTTTTTTTTTCTCACCTGGATTTAGGCCCCGAGACTATTGACCGCGCCATCATTGGCACCTCGCGCAGAGTCAACGAGCAGACCGGATGCATCGAGTGGTGTCGCGTGCAGTCGCACGGCCTCAAAGAACCCCCGCCCGATGCGAAAATGAGCGTCATCTACGCCGTGGATCCCGTCAAGGAGGCCAAGAAGCTCGTCTTCCAGATGGGCACGGCCGACCCGGACCGCGCCGTGCAGGCCGCTCGCCTCATCGCCGCCGATGTGGCCGGTATCGACGTCAACGCCGGTTGTCCCAAGCCCTTTAGCACCAGCGGCGGCATGGGCGCGGCGCTCCTGCGCACCCCGGACAAGCTCGTGGCGATTCTCGAGGCGCTCGTGCAAAACATTACACCAGAGTTCGAAATTGGCATCAGCGTCAAGATCCGCATCCTCGAGACGGCGGCCGAGACGGAGACACTCGTCCGCCGGCTCGTCGCCACAGGCATCACTGGCCTGACGGTGCACTGCCGCACGACGCCGATGCGCCCACGCGAACGCGCCATCCGCGACCAGATGCGCATGGTGGCCGACGTCTGCCACGAGGCCGGCATCGCGTGCCTCATGAACGGCGACGTCGAGTCCAAGGATGAGGGCCTGCGCCTGGCGGCCGAGTACGGGGCCGACGGCGCCATGATTGCCACCGCGGCCGAGACGAACCCCAGCTGCTTCCGCGCCGCGGCCGACGGCGGCCTGCTGCCCTGGCGCGAGGTGGTGGACGAGTACGTCGCGACGGCCATTGCCGTCGACAACAAGTTTGGCAACACAAAGTACCTGCTCGCGCAGATGGTGCCTGGCAAGGAGGACGCCCACAAGGCCGTCACCCAGGCGCGCTCCTACGTCGACGTTTGCGAGAGCCTCGGCCTCGCGCACCTCTTGAGCCGCGCCCGCGTGATTGATGAGCTGCGCGGCCTCGGCCAGCCCACGGCGAAGCAGAAGCAGCAGGCGGCACGCAAGGCCGCGCAGTCGTCCAATGCGAGCGCGCTGGCCGCCGGCGGACAGATGGGCCACGCGCGCGCCGTGTCCAGGAACAAGAAGTCGCTGTCTGATCGCCAGCAGCCGCCGTCGGCTTCGAGTTCGGACAAGACGCCCGTGGTCTCTGCTGCATAGAGATGCAGAGAGAGGCGTCTGGACTTGAGAAGAAGTAATGGAGGCTGGCAGCTCTCCCCGCTGGCTGGAGCCGCTGGCTGGAGCAGATTTCGAATTACGCATTAGCGAGGGATTTTTTTTTTTTGGCATGTCATGGAGTTTAGTATAGATCAAAAGGACCGACAACAAGTGCGATGAGATCATGGCTTGATTTTAGAAGGAGGCTTGATGGCAACAACCACTATTCGCTTGCACATGTGGAACGTTGCATTCGTGAAAAACCATGGCTATAAACCCTGCGAGAACATCACAACTTGTTATAGCCATGGCCGAGACAAGCGGACGTGTAGATAGTACTGCCTTGAAAACAATTATGAACAAAGAAAATATAAGTTCTGCTACATCATCTATGAGCTTTTTGATGTAATGGTACAATCATTTGCCAACCCTATCTTGGCATCCCCTTTTATCCGAGATCTGTGCTGTATCTTTTCGGTACTGCCGCTGCTATACCCGTTTCGCCCTTGTTTATTTACCCTGCCTGACCCAGCCCTCGACAATCTCCCTAGCATCCGTGACCTTTTCGTCGACGAGGCGGACGCCGAGGCGGGCGTGGACCCTGGCAAAGCTGGCCGTCTTTTCAAGGCCCTCGCGGATCTGGAGGTGGGCGTCGCGGACGGCGGGCACGCGCTGCTCGTACTTCCAGGCGAGGTCGGCGATATTGCGCATAGTGACGGGGAGAACGGCCCAGCCGGCGCCGACACCAAACGCGATCGGCAGGGTAGCGCGCAGGAGCACGTTGCGATTGCGGGCGACGATGCTGCCGGCCATGGCGGCCACGAGCACGTAGATGGCTCCCGGCATCAGCTTCTCGCCCGACTCGCGCGAGGGCGCCAGCGACGCAAGCGTCTTGGTGAAGGAGTGCTCGAGGCCAAAGGCGCGGTCCATGGCCTCGTTGACCTTGTCCTCGGCGACCACGGCGGTTCGGTACAGCGCGAGACGGGCCTTGCCAATCTGCACGGCGAGCTGGTCCGTTGGCGTGGGCCCGCGAGGCTTTACAATTACCGGCTGTTCGTCGTCATCGCGGGTGCGTCCGGTTTCTCGCTTGGGCTCGGTGGTGAGAGGCGCGGATTTTGGGGTCGAAGGGGGGGCGGGCAGGGCCTCAAAGTCGTCGTAGATGGGTTTTCTCTGCGAGTAAACGGATGCGTTAGCCACGAAGCGCGGGGCGCCGCGGATTCCCTCAAGAGCCGACTCCTTCGAAATAAAGGCATCAAACGTCGTCAGAAAGGGAGGGAGCAGCTTCCATGCATCATCGTACCTTGTCTACGGCGGGTGCCTCTGCAAAGGCCGTTGCGGGCGTGAGGGCCATACCACCAAGGGCAGCTGCCGCTAGAGCGCGCTGGAAAGAAGAAATCAGCTCAATGGGCTCCAGGAAAGACGATTGTGACTCAATTGAACCAGAAGAGTGGAAGCTTACCCTTTGCAAGAGAACTCGTGCAGCCATTGTGAGATGTGGAATTTTGATAAGTGTGACCTGGCTGGCTGGGTGATTCAGTAGCAGCGAGGCGTCATTTCTGGGCCGGTGGTGGTAGTGGTGTAGCAAAGTTGTCGGCGCGAGCACATTGTCCGCTTTCCGGTGTCTCCCGGCTCTGAGTGGCAGCACGCACAAGCTTGCCCGGATTGGCTCAAGCCTCGGAAGTGGGGCTTTAGATGGTCCAGCCAAGAGCTACCCTACTTACAAAGTACGTACCATTAAGAGACCTTGAGATTCAAAGCGGATTATTCTTCTGGAAAATGGCAACCTCTTACTGGGGGAAAAAAAAGAAAAGAAAAAAAAAAGGAAGAAAGAAGAAGGCAAGAAAAAAAACCTATATATTTTCAAATAATCTGCATAGCGATGGAATACGTTTTATTCGAGTTTTAGTCATACCTAGAAATGTATAACTCAAGAATAATGTGCCAGGAAACTAGTACAGCAGAAATACGAAATAAATATTGTGATAATGTAGCAGTATAAAACATTAACATTGGCAATACATATTTTAGTACATCTTCACCTATATTGCACAGCTTCAATGCTATTGCTGATTCCCGCTCTGTGGCTGTGGCTTGGTTGGCTGCGGGCCATTGTTCGCATGGTGCGCATCGTGAATGGCGTTGCACGTATAAGCACTCATGTGTAATACACGGAATCGATGTGAGGCGTCATGGAATATTGTTTCATCAATTCGTCATCATCTTCGTTTCATGTATCCCAAGACCACGCATGTCTAAGGCTCATGTGGTGACACTAAAGCGCTGAAGCTGATAGCACTGTGTTGCTCCGTGTATCGTGCATTCGATACGAACCGCGAAATCGACATGTATAAGTTGCTCACTCGTTCCCATTTTGAGGAAGTAAGAAAATAGAAATCATCCAACTTACATCCTTGAGAAAATTAACCATCTGAAATTTCTCTGCCATTCAACAACATGGCTGCAGGGGAAGTGCAGGAGCTAACAGACTCGTGCGAATTTCGAATGCTCCCACGCGGCGACGGAAGCTACTACCCTCATCGGACGAAAGACTGCGGTCGATGGGATTGTAAATACTCTCAGAAACACCCTCCGACGAAGTGATGGTGAGTGCCCTATCGTTCCAACCTCAGCCTACCTGACTTTCTCTTTACTACAAGGAAATTCATGTCTAATACATATTTCCGATCAAGTAGCCGCACGCTTATATACAGTGGCGACTTGTTGCATGCAAAGCACGATGGAATTGCTCCCATCGAATCCAAAAGGCTAAAATCTGGATATTTTTGCTTCCGAGTTGAACTCCAATGAACGAAAAGGCTGTGCGATGAGTGAAGCGCTCTTCAGCCAGCCCTCTGCTCCCTACATAGGATAATCAATCTACATCCTGGTGAAGTAGAGCAGCCCCAGAAATTCCACATCAGATGCATTATGTTGCACTTGCCATCAAGGCAAATATTCTGTGATTTTGATCCTACTTGATTAAGCTGCTTTCAAAGGACTTTAAAGGAAAATTTAACTTTGAAAGACCAAAAGCATCATTCTCACATAGAGCATACTCCGTCCCTTCGAGTACCCAACACTGGTGCCGTTTTTTCCCAAAAAAGACTTGGATTTTTTCTTAAAGCTCGTATATTCATTAGGGGTTAAGTGCATGCCAGCAAATCACAAATTTGAGATATCTCTAGGCTCCTTCGTGGAGTAGATTTGGATGAAAAAAGTAGGAGAAATCTTGAGAAACAGTACATTCATGAAAAAGTCTGCTTGTGAGACGCTTCAATTCCGAAGTAGCACATAGCTCAACATAACTCGGGTGTAACAATAACAATGCGTATTTCGCTTTCGTATCGAACGACACAGAGAGCTAGAAGGATATCATGTTCCACGCGAGTGCTGAGCTGTGTGCATATGGCCAAGTATTTGGCATATAGACATACAAAATTCGCATCTGTTTTTTCTGCATCTCTGTGGCATGCCTGACATCTTTGAGTGAAAATCTACGATGGAGCTGACGAATTTGGACCTGCGCCGCAAATGATAAGCCAGACGGATTGTCCGAGCAAAGCTTCAGCCTCTTTATCAGCTGGTAACGGATCAAGTTGGCAAACTCACGGGTAGCATTCGCATTCCTTGTCGTACTCTCACCCTCCCATCTCATTTGAGGATTTGCCTATTCATTTGCCGAAGAGAAAGGGTTGATCGCACCGGTCCGCAGCGGAAAGGCTTCGTTGAGACTCCCGTCGGATGTGGTGGTCCGATGCGTCAAAGTTGTAGTCCGAATCCAAGCCATCGCACTCTTCCACCATAAATTAATGTTCCCCGATGGACTTTTACGTTGCTTCGTTGAGATATGGGTACGGGCAGCAGAGCAATCTACTGCAAGGCTCCACCGTCGACGCCATGGCATAATCCTTCGCGGCAAACTCATACTTCCTGCATCGTGCCTTTGCGGCTGAGCGCGAGCGCGAGCGGGTTGCGGTATTAACGTTGTTCAACTGCTTCTCGAGATTGGGCAGCAACTGTTGGGTGGCTTCGCTGGACCATCAGTCTCCGTCTAGACCACCCGGGACCTCGTGTTGTAAAGGTACAGGGCAATTGCAGCGCTGATGGGGTTGTTGCTGCCACGACCAATGCAAGTCAGGAAGTAGACGCCGCAGATGGCGCCATAGTTGAAATTGACGGTAGCCTTTGGTGATCATTAAAAAGTTTTCTTTTGTGTTTCTGCAAGCCGAAAGCTCAGACATACAAGGAGCATCCTCTAAACACGGACGCAACAAGACAGGTAATGTTGAAACACCTTTCACGATTGAATGTGTCGCTGACGATACCGAGCGTCAAGGTGCCCACTCCGAACCTTTCTTTGTGAGTACTGATAGAGTAATCAACTCTCCGAGTAGGAACGGAAACAAGTCAACTACGCTAGTCCGACATTGCCTCAGGTGAACAATGAGATCTTCACTCTCGGCAGTGATATTCATCTATCATTTCCCCGCATAAAGGCTCAGATACCCATCTAAGCCCGGATCGCTATATCGAGCCCTGGCCCACCCCAGATCGCAGCATCAGCAGAAGCCAAATGGCGTCAGGCAAACCGTCGAGAACCGCCTCAGCCGGCTCACCATACTCATCAAATTGTCCTACACTTTCTCTTGCCTTTTTCCAAAATAACTTTCAAGTGTCGCTCATGTCAGGGCAAATTCGACTTTGTAGTCGTAAACGAAATACGACACTTGTGTATAGTCAGCCATATCTTTGGTGACGATGTTGGAAGTGATCAGCGACATGCATGGGCATAGACTGCAGCCGAGAAGTGAGCGCAATGAGGCGCAACTCTCGCCACTGGAATGATGACTTGCAAACTGTATTGATATCTCAAGATAAGCTTGATATTACAGTGTTTAAGCCAATTCCGGCATACTTTCTTCTCGCGAAACCAAGATTACGGAGACGTAGGCGGCAATGTTGGTGCAGCGTCTAGTTGCGGAGCAGTACAATTGATTACGAGGTAAGGCTGTACCGGGTACAGATAGTTCATTGCTAAGAGTTTCTTGCGGTGTCAACAAGATGCGTCATGTGTGACTCCTGCCTTTTGCAAACAAGCTGCCAATCGCGCAGCAAGTTGGAAGCTCCTGTCGGAGGCCGCTCTCGACGGCAGTCAATATCTTTGCATTACGAGCGGACACCGGCGCTTTGCCAATTGCCTGTCCGAGATATTATTTGATATGGAATTTAAAGCTGCAACACAGTCAGACGCCGAATATGCGACGTCTGGTATTGTGCGCGGCCCTCTGCACGGACTACCCGGCTCCCTCAAAAAACTGCTTCAAGATTGTCGGCACGGATGCAACAATCGGGTGCGCGGCATTTATCAATCAAGAAACGTTTCGATCTGAAGAATAAAGTCACCGAGCTTCTGCGGCAAGGTGGTGCGATTTCTTTGTGAGACCAATGTTCCACTGGCACTGACGGCTGAAGAGGTGCGTGACAAGCTGACGTCAACGTACTTGACGCCGTTTGCTCTTAGACATACAAGGCTATTCACGGCTATAATAGAAATCCTTACAATAGAAGTCTCTTCTAGTGGAGGCTCTTGTGAAGGCGAAAGCGCATCGCTAGTTCTGCGAGGATCTCGTCTTGGCTGGACATCGATGTTGGTGGTTCCATTCGTGCCGTATAATGCTATTTGCTAACGATCATTGGGAACACCTGAATAATTATGCAGCTTATACTCACTCGTATCATTATTTCGTCGTGTTCCTGCGTACGAGCTGAGAGACGGTCTAGAAAGACAGGAGGCCGTTCGTATTATTTCGGCCCGATGTCAACATCACTGGCTGGCTTGGAGCTAAAGAGCAAGAATGTAACTCAAGCTTAAGCTGAGCCCTGCATAGGTGCGAATCTAGGTTCTGCACATGTCGTGGCGTGATGTCAAGGTGGCCGGAAAGCTGTGTTTTGGTCGGCCATCTATTGCCGCTTCCGGTGCTGAGGGCCGGCAGAGGGCTTCGGCAGCTAACACGGAAAAGAAATATCAAACCACTTCTACCAATGACCCGAGCGTTACTTCAGACAATAGCTGTATTGAAGGAATCGGGCCACAAGGTGGTTGAGTTTCGCATGTGCGAGTTCCAAGAAGCTCGCCTTCTCCCACGGCTATTCCCGGTTGGCATGCTGTGTGTTATTTCAGCGACGGTCTACACCATTTGGTAAAATTGGAGTTTGCGCTGTACCGGTCCGCTACCGGTGACGCATTGATGAAAGATTCTCGGACGAACGTAGAAAACGTGGCCAAGAGAGTATCAAGTCCTTGCGCAGTGGGCGGAGAGGGGCAGAGGCCGCCTAATATGCGATGGAAAATGGCCTAATAAGGGGCGGGTTGATGTCTGCACCAGAGTTTCTCAGCTTTGGAAAGCCCAAGTCAAAGCGCACAGACTTTTTCGACGCGCATGTTGATGACATGGGCGGGAGCCAAGGTCACGGACGGCTAGAGGACGGGAGATGAACGCACTGCTCATGCCCACTACACCGTTGCCCAGCGTCCAAGAAGTCAGTCGATAGTATCTTGAAGGTTCTTGGCGTGGCGTGCTTTACCGTAGTTCTAGGGACGAGTTCTCTTACGACAATTACACCAACATGTGAAATGTAGTCGACTATCGCGTGACGGCTATTCCAGCCTCATCTCACGAGTCTCTGCAACGGAAGACAGAAAAAGCAGAGGACAGTGCTCGGGAGAAGCTCGAGGGCAGGATCGATTGCCGAGCGTCAGCATTCATTAGCCGTTTCTGACACTGTCATGGGAACCAGAGAGCGCGGCATGCACTGCCCTGTTTCAGCGCTGCTCATTGGGCGGCGACGACACGAGAGTTATTTGTTGAAGATGAGTAAGGTATGCGATGAGGCTATCGAGACGACTTAGTAATGATACTGGTAGACGCTGGCTGTAGACGTTAGAATCCAAAACAGGGTCTGTGATCAGTTATGACTTGTGAGCCAAAGTATACCCAGCAAGAAGAGAAGAGTTGCTGATGAATTTACCCGTGAATGACCCTAACCCTGGCCCAAGGCAGCTGTGGGTGGAGCTGTGCTGGTGGGGGCGGTGTTGCTGGTGGCTTTTATAGCTTGTGGGGGTTGCATTGTGGCTTGTTGTCTGACCTGGTTGATGATTGGTTGAAAAGCTGACCAACTTGGTCAACGGCAGCCGCTCAGTCCACGTGCGATTGGTGCAATTGGGCCGGCTCCAAGCCCACTGATCCGTAGCCAGGGGAATAGAAAATAATCCAGTCCGACCCCTGTTTAGTGTTTCTGTTCCTGGCATTGCCAAGCCAAAACCACCCCCCTCCCCCCCCCTCCACGCATGCATGCGCCTTGACAGTATCCGAGACAAATTAGGAACCCAGTTCACGGACGTCTTGTTGGCGGTGCGCTCAGCCCGCCATGAATAAGATTCAGGTCGCCAATTGCTTGGTTTCTTTCTTGTTTGCTTTGTCTGTCTGCGCCTGTCTGCGCCTGTCGAGACAGTTTGCGGTGTTTCTTCCGCCCTCTACTTAGTTATTATCCCTGCCCGGTGACGCAGGCAATCGCACGCCATTTGACGTAGGCTTTTGTTGTAAATAGAGAGAAAACAACACGCATTGACTTACACGGGCAATGCGGAAGCAAAAATGGTTTTGCCCGCGCTCATGACCCTCGACAGGGGCTGGGACTGGGGGTCGGCGACGATACTACATTACATACACTCGGCTACGAGGAGAGGTTCCTTTGGCCCCCAAATGCCTAGCCCTCCTATTTTTTATCAGTATCAGCACAGGTGAGTATGTATACGAATATTCGAAAAAGTGCCACCACCATACGATCCCACTGTCAGTGCATTCTGCCTCTTGACGTATCGTGGTGGTCCCATGTCGGCGCGCTCAGGCGGCTCGGCCAAGCTCGTGCTGAGGAGAATGAACCGGCTCTTCCGAAAAATGAACTTGTTTTTTTTTTTCATCGAGTTTTCGGCCGTCATCTCCGTTTATGCGTGCAAAAATAGATGCCCGCTACAGTCTGATTTATTTTTTCTTAGTATGGGAACTGCTTTCGCTGGTGGGTTTCGCCTCACCTGTTCTGTAGATGTGCCTGAAACGTACTCCACGGTCCGCTGGCCCACGGTGGGAAACAGTTGCCTAGTATGGCACACTAGCTTTCTATTTTGGCCCGAGGTGGAGGGAACAATCGGCCGCCAAGTGGCAGTAGTGTCTATGCGGGATAGGTGAACAGATACGCTACCAAGGCGAACCTTAAACCCCGTCGGGTCCGTGTTTTCCTGGTTCGAGGAGCCGTATTATAACAGTGCAATGGGCCCCGTGTGCTTTGTCGAAAAAGGCAATTGAGCATCGCATAATACCAGACCACTATCGAGATTATAGAAAAGTACTTCACTCGCTTCAGCTTTCTATTCTCTTGCGTTGTTGGTCGGCGTCGCGAATCTTCTCTTGGCCCGGACAGAGACGCCTTGTTAACCAAATGGGGCCTGCTGGCGTCTTGCTTGCCCTCATGGCCGGCCTGGTCGCCGGCCAATCGGGCCTCTCCAGCGGCAAGACGCAAAACGGCCTGATTGGATACGGAATTCGACTCTACGAGCCGGCATGCGCCCACGCGTGCTGGGACACGATCGCTTACATGACCAACTGCACCGCCGACATGTCGATATCGCGATTCCTTAACCCCGGCATTGCCGGACCGCTCAAACACGGCAACGAGAAAAACGAGACCGAACTGGAGCCCTACTGCAACGCAGAGTATGAACCATATCTTCAGACTCTGGCGTGGTGCATACATCAGGAATGCCGCGACGTGCCGGAGCTGGAGCTGGAGAGTTTCTGGTGGACCGAAGGCCCCGGAAAGGACAACAGCTCGATTGAGACGTATTCCCAAATATGGGCACGAGTAAATAGCACCAAGATGCGCCCGATTAACCAACACGCCACCCTCAACTACACGGCAACCGTGCCCCATGATCAGTGGAAGCCCAGCTACGACAACATTATCACCCTGGTAAGGGTAGAGATTACACACGAGCGATATGCACTGATTCTATTTCTTTCCTGCGCCTTGATACCCATTGGCTTATCGTTGCTTCGATTCCTTCCTTGGTCGGCGACGTATGTGTCTCATTTCCACGCCTACATCATCGACCCTCCCTTAATCGGCCACCGGCAAAACGAACTCTTGGGCGAAGTCTTTATGATGCCCACCCGCGGACAGGCAATCTTTATTGCATACATTTGGACCATCAACATTGTCCTCTCGGGGACGGGGTATTGGTTTCTGCCAGGCAGCTACTGGTACAACAATGACGTGCACCAAACCCTGACGCAGGTCTCCAACCGCCTGGGCATGCTGTCCTTTGCCAACATTCCGCTCCTCATCCTCTTTGCCGGCCGCAATAACATTCTACTGTGGCTCACCAACTGGCCGCGGACTACGTTTCTCATGATGCACCGCTGGATCGCCGTCATTTGCATGCTGGAAGGGGTCCTGCACACCGTTCTCTTCTTTTACGCCTATTCCGTGAGCTGGTACGCCATGACCATGAGCGTGCTCGTCACCAAGGGCTACTGGCTCTGGGGCGCGGTGGGCACCATTGGCCTGATGGTCCTCGTCGTGACCGCCGTGCAGCCGATCCGTCGGCGAGCCTACGAGCTCTTCGTCTTCGTGCACATTGTAGTCTCGGCCCTGGTTCTGGCAGGGTGCTACCAGCACGTGGTGCTGCGGTACGGCCGGCAGCGCGGCTTCGAGACTTGGATGTACGTGGCAGTGGCTATCTGGGGCTTTGACCGCGCGGTGCGGCTCATGCGCGCCTGCCGGCGAGGCGTCCGCAAGGCCTACATCAGCCCCGTCGACTCGGACTACATGCGCGTCGACATTCCCGGCGTCAGCGCGCGCGGCCACGTGTACCTGCACTTCCCAACCATCAGCAAGTGGCGGGTGTGGGAGAGCCACCCGTTCTCGGTCGCGGGCAGCAGCTGCTACAACACCAACAAGTACGGCTACGGCCCCCAGGAGCTTGACAAGCCGAGCTGGCCGCTCGGATGGGACCCGCTGGCGACGCCGCCGCACATGTCGACGTCTGCGGCGCTGCCGCTGCCCCCGCGCAAGACGGGCGTGACGCTCTTTATCAAGAAGCAAAAGGGCCTGACGGCCAAGCTCGGCGCTCTCAACACGGGCGACGTCGGAATCCCGGTCATGATGGAAGGGTCGTACAACGAGGAGGTGACGTTTCTGCAGGAGAACCACCTGCAGCCGACGCCAGACTACCAAAACATCATCTGCTTCGCGGGCGGCGTGGGCATCACGGGCGTGCTGCCGTTCCTCGACAAGTTTGGCGGGCTGACGAGCCACGGATCGAAGCGGCTCTTCTGGACGGTGCGCAGCATGCCGCTGGTGTACGCCGTCGAGGACATGCTCGGGGCGTACGCGGGCGCGCAGGGGTCGGAGCGGCGCTGGGGCGACGTTGACGTGAGCGTGTCGTTTGGGCGGTTCAGCGTCAGCAGCGCGCTGCGGGAGCACCTGGACTCGGTCTCGGGCGGCTCCATCGTCGTGGTGTGCGGGCCGGCGGGCTTGGCGGACCAGGTGCGGATGCTGGTGACGAGACTGGCGGCGAGCCCGGAGCGCAAGACGAAGCCGTTGAAGCTGGTGGTGGAGAGTTTTGCATGGTAGATGAGACTGAGATGCTTAGCCCTGTTTACATTGGTTTTCTTTGTCTTGCACCTATTCCCTCTCCTTTACCATTTTTCTTTTCTTTATTTTATAGAAATCTCAGATGAAAGACGTTCATCGTCGCAGGCATCATCAGCATAGCATAGTAGGTTATATCGTGGCATATACAGAACACAGTAATACATAAAGATAATACAGTAATTATATCTGAAGATTTGCAACGTATATTACCTGAATTGAGATGCATCGGCATTGAAATGACACGAGCCGTGACAGTGCGGGGAAGCTGGACGTTTACTGTTCTTAATGCCGTGCTCCGCGACCAGCCGACCTCGAGCATTGCCGCTTTGGGTTATGCCGCTCGCTGCGCAGGGGAGGGGGAGGTGTGGGGAACGGGCGGGCAAGATGTGAGGGTTGACGATCCGAGGTTGACAATCTTGACAGCGGTAATTGGGTGAGCTTGACAAGTTCGAGGGATAGCCCGCCCTCCGTTCCAGTTGTCCATTATTAGCGAGCGGGCCGAGGTGAATGCTGCCGTATAACTAGCAGGCAATACAGGCTTTGCGGATAAAAGGCGCCCCCAATGCAGTGTAATTGGAGCATTTGAAAACGTTGTGCATCAGGTTTTCGCAGGCAAACCCCGCCGCCACGGCTTGGACAAAGGCCATGACCAATGAAAGCTGTACTTGGAGCTCACTAAAAAGATCACTAAAAGCTGACCAAACGACCACTGAAAGCTCACTATAACCCGCAAACCAATGTCCAGCCCAGGCGGTTGATGCCCTTTTGCTGCTGGATCAACGGCCAGTTATAGCGCCATTGCCTGCTGTATTATTGTCTAACCAAGTGCCATCACCCACTGTCACAGGCCGACACAATCTGAATTATAGCGCTCTCCCTCACTATATGCACTTCTTTTCGGCCCCTACCGCGACCCTCTCTCGGCACCGCCAAAGCCCGGAAGTCGCATCGTTGCCCTTCCGCAAGCATGTGCAAAATCTCCTCCCAATCTTGCCTCTCTTCTTTGGCCTCATCTCTTCTCGCCACAACCCCATGGCCTAGTCATCACCAGTTCGGCCAGTTCCATCGCTCCCTCTGTCGTTTCTGCCGTAATCGAGACTCATCGCCCTATTCAATGATAAGCAGTCGTCTTACCTCCCTTCCGCCACCATGCTGTCGTCCAGCAGCCGTCTCTGGGTATGCACGCGATGCGTCCGCCGTCGCGTCACCAGGCCGCCTCAATTCCGGCAGCGAGTGTGGCAATCAACAACCGCAGCTGCCGCCGAAGATGCCCGGCCGCTCGTGAGCCATGGTGTCAGCCCCAACCACGACGACGCCGTCCTGCGCGAGCTGTTCGATGCGCCCTCGAGTACCTTTGCCAGCTTCAGCCTCAAGCGCAGCCAGGGCCTTTTCAAGAACCGCTATCTCACCAGCCCCGATGGATTTCTCGTCTTTGCACAAAAGAATCTCGACCGCGCCACACGTATAGTCAAGCGCGTCCTCGCCGCCTCTAGCACCAACGACTACCGCAACGTCGTCCGCGACCTCGATCGCCTCAGCGATCTGCTCTGCCGCGTTCTCGACCTCTCCGACTTTGTCCGCATGACGCACCCCGAGATTCGATTTCAACAGGCCGCCACCGACGCTTGGTCGCTCGTATACCAGTACATGAACCAGCTCAATACCATGACTGGTCTTAGTGATCAGCTCAATGAGGCCATCTCACGCCCCGATGTCACCGACCAGTGGACCGACGAGGAGAAGATTGTCGCAGATCTTCTCAAGCTCGACTTTATGAAATCCGCAGTCAATCTGCCGAAAAAGTCGCGTGATCGCTTCGTCGAGCTATCCTCCCAGATTAGCGACGTCGGCTCTGCCTTTGTGCAGACCATGAGGCCCGAAAAGACAAAGGTCACGTTGCCAGCCCATCGCTTTTACGGCTTGTACCCAGGGCTTGCTTCAACACTCAAGGCTGGCTCACAAATTTCCATCCCGACTACTGGTTCAGAAGCAGCAGCCGCGCTACAGAGCGTATACGACGAGGGCACCCGTAAAGAAATTTACCTCACCCAGCGCACATCATCCTCGAAAACTATTGGCTACTTGGAAAACATGCTTAGGCTCCGCGCAGAGCTTGCAGGACTCGCAGGTTTCCAGAGCCACGGTCACATGTCACTCAAGGATCGCATGATGGCCAAGTCGCCGTCTTCTGTTATGCAATTCCTTCTGGCCCTCCGCCAACACAATGCGCCCATGATCCAGCATGAACTTGGCCAACTCATGGATCGAAAACGCGAGCGGTTGGCCATGCCAGATGCCGAGCTGCATCCCTGGGATAGAGATTTCTACATGGAAAGGATCCGCGCCGAGATGCGATCCAAGGTCCGCCATGAGGATCAGCTCACTGCCTTCTTTTCCGTCGGCACTGTCATGCAGGGGCTATCCCGGCTGTTTGATCGCTTATATGGCATCCGATTTGTGCCACGCGAGACCCTGCCCGGTGAAACATGGCACCCCGATGTCAAGAGGCTTGACGTCATGTCCGACAATGGTGAGCAAGTAGCCGTCTTGTACTGCGATTTGTTTTACCGTCCGCAAAAGTCGCCCAATCCAGCTCATTTTACTGTGCGATGCTCCCGCGAGATATTGCCTGACGAGGTGGACGAGGCCGGCGCCGATCTCAACGGCGCCAACATGCCCTACTTTGACTCGGCGGAGCAGGCTGCCAACGACGGCATGGAAATATCCAGAGGTGACGGGCCTCTCAAGCAGCTTCCCACGGTTGCTCTCGTCTGCGATTTTGCCAAGAACGACAATGCTCGCGAACCGGCCTTTCTGTCCTTTTACTCGGTTGAGACACTCTTCCACGAGATGGGTCACGCTATCCACTCCATCCTCGCGCGCACTTCTTTCCAAAACGTTTCGGGCACTCGCTGTGCGACTGACTTTGCCGAACTGCCGTCGACTCTGATGGAGCACTTTGCCGCCGACCCAACTGTGCTCTCCCTTTTCGCGCGCCACTGGAAGTCGGACCGCCCCTTGCCCTACGAAATGGTGGCCGAGCGCATCAAGGTGGCCAAGCGCTTCGAGGGCATCGACACGGAGCACCAGATCCTGCTCGCCATGGTCGACCAGGCCTACCACTCGCCTGAAGTGTCTGAGCCCTCATTCGACTCGACGTACGTCTTCCACGACATCCACAAGCGCTTTGCCCACGGCCCGCTCGACCCGCCGAGCACGCGCTGGCAGGGCTTCTTTGGCCACTTGCACAGCTACGGCAGCACCTACTACAGCTACCTCTTTGACCGCGTACTCGCCGAGCGCGTCTGGCGCGTTGTATTCAGCGGCGGCGAGGGAGGCATGGCCGTCTCCCGCGCCAACGGCGAACGTCTCAAGGAAAATCTGCTCAAATGGGGCGGCGGACGAGATCCGTGGACATGCCTGGCCGAGACCTTGCACGACGATCGGCTAGCGGCCGGCGACGAAAAGTCGATGGCGCTGGTGGGCAGCTGGGGCATCAAGGACTCGGTCAAGGCGAAATAAGACGACTGGTTTGACTATCACGTAGATGTGCTATAGGGGCTTTTCTGTTTTCTCCCTCCTCATTTTCTTCTTTTTAGTTCCTGAGCATAGGCGAGCGTTGTGTGTGGTGGTGTTTTCTTCTCCTT